TGACTTGGACCCCTCTTTCAATGGCATTTCCTCCTCCCCGCCGTGACTGCCCAGCTTCAGTCTTTGCAAAAGGAACTTGAAATTGGCTAAAAGAGGTGAGGAAGCTCTGTTGAGCAGAACAACCTCTGCATTTTTCTGGTTATTGCTGCCCTCCTTATAAGGCAGACAGAAGGTGGGAGCTTCCTGATTCCTCTTTGCCAAAGTGAGTTGTCCAGAGAATGCAGTGTTCTTCTTTTACCCTGTGTTTTCTTCCTCCCCAGCACAAAGATCTGGAAAGGAGAGTAAGTGGGTAGCACCAAGAGCTCTTGGAAGCTGAGGGCCAAAGGATACAGTGGGTCATTTCTTCAAGAGGGAAGCCTCTTTATGTGAAAGTGTCCCCAGGAAATTAGCCACGTGATGAGTCTGTCCCCCAGCTGGGCACTGTGGGTTCTATAAGATGGGTCTGCACATTTCACGGTGAGGACTGTCTCTAGTACGGGATCTGAAGTTGTCAGATGTGTCCTGGGTTTAAGAGGTGGCTTGACTTTCGAATGTAAAACTGACTGTGCCTTAGCATCACTCTGTCCCAATGCCCCTGGGGCGGCTGCTGGTGTCCAGGAGAATAGATGCCTGTTCCAGATTTAGATGCCTATTTGGGCTTTTATTCGGTTTGGGGTGTTCCTGTCTTCTGCAAGTTGGGGGTGGGGGGCAAAGCTAGTGTCCCAGGAGACTTGTGCCACAGCTTGTTCGCAGTTTACACAAACTCACCTTTAAAGCTCCAGGTAGAACCTGATTGGCAAACTCTAGCTGCAGCATGTGGAGCACCAAGATGTTCACTGCTTTGAATGGGTGTCAGTGCCACTGAACCATGGGGGAGAGGAGTATAGAGGCAGAGCCACATTCTTCCCCTTCCTGGTCTAAGCCAACGGTGGTGAGTTTGGGTCTTCCTCTCCTAACTCCTGTAGAAGGGGGGCAGTTAGGGGCCTTCTTGAGGAGGCTTCTACTTCTTACCACTAAATTGGTTTCCGTTTTCATCCAAAAGTTGGAACTCTCCAGATGTTCACACTTACAAAGAAGCCAAATCTGAATTCTGGGATTCTAAAATATCTTAAACTATGAGGGAAAATCTAGTTCTGTCCCATCCCTGATTAGCAGGCCCTCTGTCCCTTCCTCTCTGAGTCAGCTCCAACAAGCAAGGCTCCTTGGCTAGTTCCTGATGCACTGACAGGAGCCATCTCATTAAGGATAACTTCTATTCAAAACATGACCCTCTGGACTTCTGATGCCTCACTTAGCAGAAGAAGGCATTGAGTGGATTGGATATATTTATGTGACTGCGGGCATTCGTGGCTGTGTAGAGTCCTTGACCATAATGTTATATGTAATGGGAACTATCTTATAAACTTGAAAGAATAAAGTTTTTATTTTCTATACAGTTTGCTCCTGTGTCTTTTCTGAGTAGGATCAGCCCAGTTGCCCAGCAAAGTAGGCTCTAAATAGGCCTTCATTAGAAGAAAATCTGAAGAGCTCGTTAGAATGATGGCACCCTTTCAATAATTCAGTCATTAATTTCATCAAAAAAGTAAAACAAAAAAACAAAAAAATTTTGGTATAAATAAATGTACATGGGGGAAATAACAGAAATATTTTAAAATAACTTGCAATGGAAAGTTTATTTCTTAATTGTTTCTAAAATCTATTGCTTTTTAAAGTTTAGGACTGGAATGATCAGAGCTTTCATTTGCTGTCAAATGTGCTAAAACTTAAAGAGAAATCAATACCTTGCTGTGATGAGCTGAAAATGCAAAAGCAATAAAACTGACAAACTGGTACCAAACCTTGCTTGATTTGGCCTGATTTCATGTCACATCAACTATTTTTTCTCATTTCATTTCTTCAGATTCGAG